CAAAAACAAAAAAGAAGAAGAAGAAAAAAAAAAACCACACCGTAGCAAGATTACATGTCACATAATCATGAATGCAGGAACCCCTTAATGGTTATTTACCATCTAATTGGCACGTTTCATCAGCTTCTCTACCTAAAAACATCAATTTTTTGTCATCAAAATGTTAAATGATGAACTAAAGATAATGGGTAAATCTACGAGTTAAGATAAAACATATCAGTAACTCGTTTGTGTTCAATTTACTGCACATTTGAATTTGACCCTCACCGTCTCAGAGTGTCCATAAGTGCAGAGTGGACGTAAGAGAAGAGGTGTGCTTGTTTTATTTTCCAGCTGCTCCCGTCACAAAAACTACCACAATTCTCTGTTCAACCCGCCCCCATAAAGCTGTACTGTGACGACCAGCTAGCACTCCTCAAAGAAACTACCCAATGACAAGACAGTATTTCACCGAGGGGGCAGAGAGGGGCCCAATCAGATTCCAGCAGGGGCCATGGCCCCTGTGGCCCCTCCCCTCCCTTCGCCTATGGTCTAGCATCAATAGCTATGACGTACTGCCAAAAACAGGGCTTTTATGCATTCCATGTTTTCTTTTCTGTCTGTTTTAGTCACATGACACACACAACAGTTAGTACTTGATTGCACATCTGTTGTTTTTGATGAATGCAGCCATGTGTCTTGGCATGCTCTCCACCAGATCTGACATTGTTCTGCTGTCACAGCAGCTCATTCCTGTTGCACAAATTCAAACAAATTTGCTTTTTTGGGGTGCTTGTGCTTCTCCATTTTGCGTTTGATGATTTCCCACAGGTTTTCAATTGAATTTAGATCTGGTGATTGAGCAAGCCAAGGCAAGGCTCCAATGTTCTGGGTCTCCATCCAACTTTTAACTGACCTTGCTGTATGACAAGAGGCACTGCCTTGTTGGTAAATTCAGTCATTTGAGGCAGGAAAGAGTTTTCCAGCTGATGGAAGGAGACTGTTTTCAAGAGTAGCCCTGTACATGACCTGTTTCATTTGCCCCTCACACAAACTGCATTTGCTCTGTTCCACCTATACTGAAACAAGCCCAGATCGTCACTGATCCACCCCAGGTTTTACTGCAAGGGCAAGACAGTCTGGTTTGTAGGCTTCCCCAGGCTTCCAACAGTAAGTTGGCTGGAGTGGGCATCAACTGAAAATTGGATTCATCACTGAAGAGAGCCCTAGCCCAATTATCAACAGTCCAATCCTTGTGATCCTCAGCAAAGAGTAACCAGGCTTTCCCCTGTCTTTTGTTGATGAAGGGCTTCTTCCGTGCCCTGTGTGACTTCAGACCAGCTTCAAGAAAGCAGTTTCCAACTGTCCTTGCCGAACAAGTCACATTTCTTGACAGTGCCCACTCATTTTTAAGGTCCTGTGTCAGGAATCGTCGCCGTCTGACGACGGATGAGAGCACGGTCATGTCGTGGGGTAGAAAGACGCTGACAACTTCTGAGTTGTGCTATGGCTTAAGTGTAAGCAGGAAACCACTCTAGGCCTTTACATGTGCAGTGCTGCTTATGACATGAAATGGCCTCTTATATACCCTGGAATATATTTAAGCTTAAGCATGTCAAATAGGAAATAAAACATGCAATCAGATGCATTTTTTTGTCGTGTTCATTGTGTTCTTCAGGTAATGTACCTTTAATGGTACTGGGCATTAAAATGAACAAGAAATTGAAGAAAACAAGAGTTGTCTAATCCAGTGGTTCTCAACTGGTGGGTCGGGGACCTGTTTTGGGTGGGTTGCGGACAGCTGGGCAAAAATAAATAATAGATAATGAGTGTCTCAGGTTGGACTTGTTTTTTATTTTGAAAAAACATTTATTTTGACAGGCATGGTAACCATAGTTTGTTTGACGTTCCTTTTAAGTTTGTGTTGATGGTGGGATGCAAGATGACAAAGCGCAAATATGACCTGGAGTATTTAAAATGTGGATTTTTATACTAGGGCTGGACCCGAATAGTCAACTATTCGTTCGCTGTGCTGGAATTGGGATATTCATTTTGATCTCCCTTGATCTTCCCAGAGTTTCTAGAAGCAGAATGGGAGGCAGAGCCTTCAGTTATCAGCTCCTGTCGTATGGAATCAGCTCCCAGTTTGGGTTCTGGATGCGGACACCCTCTCTACCTTTAAGATCAGGTCAAAAACGTCCCTTTTTGATAAAGCTCATAGTTAGGGCTGCTGGGAGTCATCTGAGCTGTCCCTTAGTGATACTGCTATAGGTTTAGACTGCCAGGGGATTCCCATGATGCACTGGGCTTCTCTCCTCTCCTCTCCTCTTTATGTATATACATATGTGTGTGTATGTATGTATATGTTTCTATAGTTGCCTATCACCATTACATATGACTAACTCTGTGACTCCCCCCGAGGTTCTCCTGCGCCTG